CCCTCAGGGCTGAGGCCCTTTCCATCCGGGCTCCTGGGGTGGAGGAGTCAGATGGGACCGAGGGGCGCCTAGGCCCCTCCTGCCCTGACAGGGGTAGCTCAGAGGCAGGGTGGGCACAGCCCACCTCAACTGCAGAGACAGAGGCAGGGAGTGGGGAGGAGGCAGGGACAGGAGATCCAGGGCTGGTGTGGGACGGGAACCCTGAGCTCAGGATCAGGAAGACACGGCCGGCCCAGGGTTGGCCTCAGGGTGCTGGCCCGGGACCACAGGGGGCAGATGGTCTCCAGGGATGGATCCGACAGCCACACCTCCCCTGGGGGGAGTCAAGACCACCTTGGGGGCTCTCCTGATGCCGGCGAGGAGCTCCTGGGGATGCACACGATGTCACAGATGTTTTTTGGACAGTGTGGGCAGGAGCTGGTGGCTGCCAGGATGCTGCGGACAGAGTGTAAGCCTGCCAGAGAGTCTGTGGGAGCCCCAGGGCCTCCCCGGTGGAGCTGCAGGCAGGGCCAGCCAGCAATCTCTCAGAGCCCCAGGATGGGTATGGGGCAGGGAGACCTCCGCCCCAAAAGAATCCCAAAGAAGCCCACCCCAAATTCATCAGCAAAGAGGTTCTTTGAGCCTTTTCTCCATGTCATTGATGGGACCAGGCTAGGCCACAGGCTAGGCAGGCACCCAAGATGGCCCCTGGGTCCCGATTCCCACAGGCCTCAGCGCAGCCTTCCCTTCCTCCCAGCCTCCTTGTTCTAGCTGTCTAGGTAGCCTTCCCTCAGTGGCTCTCTTGCACACCCACACACCCCACTGTCTGCAATCAGGGCCTGGGCCCTTGACCACATCCTGGCAGAAGGCCCTTCACCCCAAGACAAGTTGATCCAACTCACTCCTCAGCCCTACTTTTTTTATTTGCAAAGAGGCTATAATCACGTGGACTGTCAGGCCTGGAGAGGGTAAACTGAGGCCAGACATGGGAAGCAGCCCAAAGCCCAGGGACGAGGAGTCAGAAGAAAGTGGGCATCCTGGAAGACTTCCTGGAGGAAGCAACTAGAGTGGCAGACTAAGAAAAGGAGTCTCAGGGGGCTGGAGGGGGAGAATGGGATAACATAAAATAAAATTTATTTTTTTAAAAAGAAAAGGGCCAGGGATTTAGCTCAGTTTAGCTCAGTGGTGCCACCACCTACCTCACAAGCAGCAAGGTCCTGAGTTTGATCTCCGGTACCCAAAGGCAAAACAAAACAAAACAAAAAGAAAAGACAAGGAGTCTCAGTTTTACTGGGAGTCTCATGGTGGCAGGCCCTTTATGTGTCTGTCCCCTTTCCTCTTCAGGATTAACCCTGTGAGGTTGGTCGTGGTCTCCCTTTTCCGGAAGAGGAGACAGACAGAGGCCTGGCCTGGGTTCGTGGCATGCCCAAGCCACACAGCGTCGGGGAGAAGGATCCTTATCGGATCTGCCAGACTCCAAGGGGAGGGTCCTGCCCACCGGGGGACAGCAGAGGCCGAGGCTGATGGGAAGACTCAGCCAGGAGGCCGTGGGCAGGGAGGAAACAGCCACCAGAAGCGAGGGGCATGTGGCTAACAAGGGTGTCAGGAAATGACCCTGCCCAGGGCCCTTCCTCCCGGCCCGCCCTGTGCCCCCGGTGCTCCCTCCGAGGGACAGAGAGAGAGAGAGAGCTTGGGCCGAGTTCAGGGGATGGCGCAGCACAGCCAGCAGGACGGGAAGGTCGGAAGCCCAGATGCTCTCTGCCCAGCCACCTCCCCATGTCCCTTGGGAGAGACGGTGCAGGGACTCTGGGCTCTTGTCGTGTTCACCTCAGAAGAGCTCAGCCCGGGCCAGGCCCAGGAGAGGCACACAGTGACTGCAAATGAGCAGAGACACAGCCGGCATGGTCACCACTGCAGGGCAGGGGACAAAGAGGCTGGGTCTCCACATGGCCTCTGCCCCAGCTCATGGCCCCTGTGAGGTGCGGAAAGCCCCTTCCTCCAAATCACATGGTGGCCCTGGAAAGCAGCCCGACCCTGGGCTCTTCTGGCTTAGATGCTGCAGTTCTAGTCATTCCTTTACCGGCTTGCTAACTTATTATTTCAGTGAGTGGCAGAGCTCTGTAAATATATTTTGGTACAGATGAAGTGGGTAGCAGCGCCGTCCGTTCGTGGTGATAAGCCAAGTTGACCGGAGAGCAGTGTTTTGTTCAGGTTGGAGAGTACCAGGGCAGAGGGGGGAGGATTGAATACCCACAAGCAAAAGAATGAAGTTGGCTGGGTATGGTAGTCCACTCTGTAATCCCAGCACTCTGGGAGGCTGAGGCAGGAGGATTATAAATTCAAACCCAATGTGGAAAATTCAGTGACTTAGTGAGAACTTACCTCAAAAAAAAAAAAAAAAAAAAAAAAAATTCAAACCCAATGTGGAAAATTCAGTGACTTAGTGAGAACTTACCTCAAAAAAAAAAAAAAAAAAAGAATAAAATTCCACCTCTCCCTCAGATCATATTTCAAAATTAACTCACAATGGAGCAGATAAAAACATCTAACAAAAAAAAAAAAAAAAAAAAAGAATGAAATTCCACCTCTCCCTCAGATCATATTTCAAAATTAACTCAAAATGGATCAGATATAAACATAAGAGCCAAACCTATAAAACTCTTAGAAGAAAACACAGTAATAAATCTCTATGACTAGACTTGGCAATGAATTCTTTTTTTTTTTTTTCCAGTACTGGGAATTGAACTCAGAGCCTCGTGCTTGCCAAGCAGGCGCAGCACCGCTGAGCTACATCCCTGGCCCTGGATTCTTAGATAAGTACTGAAAGTATAAGCAACAAAAGAAAAAAGTAGATTAAACTGAAATTCATCAAAATTTAACACTTTTGTGTCCCAAAGGAGACCATCAAGAAAGTGAAAAGACACTGGGCGTGGTGGTGCACGCCTGTAATCTCAGCACTCTGGAGGCTAAAGCAGGAGGATCGCTGTGAGTTCGAGGCCAGCCTGGGCTACATGTGAGTTCAAGGCCAGCCTGGGCTACATAGGGTGTTCAAGGCCAGGATGAACTACATAGTGAGACCCTGTCTCACACACATACACACACAAAAAAGACAAAGGATCTCAAAGGATCCAAATAGACATAATCTTTCCATCTCGGCAAAGAAGACACAGAAATGTGCAATGGAACTTGAGAAGATGTTCGGGTCATCAGGCATCCAGGAACCAGAAATCAAAACTACTGTGAGACACCTCCTGAACTCAGGAGACCAGCAAGAGCAAAAGTCAGGGAAGAAGCACGCATGGATCTGGAGAGATCGGAGCCTTGAGCTCCGACGGTGAGAGGGCGAAACGGTGCGGTCAGAGCTACTCTGAGCCAGCAGTGGCACCTGTCCGCATAGACGGTGGAGCTCTTCTGCCCAAGCGCAGTAAAGCACATCCAGAGCAGTGCTCCTCCTCAAGGCCGAACTAGGGAGCGGCCTAGGTGCCCATAAACAGGCGCGGGAAGAAGGCAGCCACCCCCACGGCCACATACGGTCTCCTCCACTTATGCGAACAGACAGGAAATAGGTTAGCAGCTGCCAGGGCTAAAGGTGGGCAGGTTGGGAGTGGAAGCTAAAGGGTATGAACTTTTTATTGGTGATGATGAAAATGTTCTAAAATGGGCCGCAGTGACATTGGCACATACGCTTGCCAGTGTACACCGTCACGTGTCACTTAATAAGCGGGACATGTTCTTTTTCTTTCTTTCTTTCTTGAGACAGGGCCTCGCTATGCAGCCCAGGCTGGCCTTGATCTCTTGGCGATCTTCCTGTCTCGGCCTCCTGAGTGCTGGGGTTACAGGTGTGCCCGGCAACTGGGACACATTCTGGGAACTGCATCCTCGGGCGATCTCCTCATTGTGTGCTTTCTGAGCCCCAGTGGTGCAGCCTCCTGTACGCCTAGGCTGGACGGTGCACACCTTCCAATACGTGGCCGGTGGTGAACCTAGGCCTTGCCATGAAGAGTGTGACTGCTAAAACCCACGGAGTAATACATCTGAAATGAGTGTGTGGATTATATCTCAATAGAGTTGTGAATAATAAAATGCAAAAAAAAGAAAAAAAATGCAAGGGTTTGTGTGACTCGTCACCAAATTAGTTTGTGAAATGCTGGCGTTAAGAGGGGACTGCTTGTTTCGGGACTTCCCGAGCCCCAGGCACACAGGTTGGCAAACGCCTGGAACAACTTAGCATACCCAGTACTGCCCCAAACTTGACTGTGGTTTCACCATGAAGCCATCTTCCAAGGAGCCACTCACCACCGCTCAGCGAACACTCTCGCAGGATGGAACCCGCCAAGTTTGGCGCAAACAATGCAGAGCCCCCGAAGGTTAAGCAGAAGGGCCTGACTGGAGCTGAACCTGAGGGAGGCCAGGCTGCGGGGAAGAAGGGAGTGGAGACGACAGCTAGTGACTGTCGCCAGTGAGGTGGCTGTAAAGGATGTGACAGACATTTCTCCAGAGGAGGCACACAAGGGGCCACCGCACAGGTAAAGGCGCAGAACACCGTGAGTCCCTGGGAGGTGCACGTCGGGCCACCAGGGGTGCAGGCGGACTGGCTGGGGCTGGACAAAGCCACGGAGGGGACGGTCCTGCCCCTCGGGCATCCTACACGATGCAGACCCCACCCCACGCCAGCTGTGTTCATATCCCTCTCCTTGGACAGGATGGGCACCCGCCAGGCGAGCTGGTGAGTGTGGGAGGGAGGGGTGGGATCTGGGGGCCGGGAGGTGGAAGCGGGGTCGGGCTGACCGGGCCGGGGGGTGGAGTAGGACACATTCTTCCTCAACAGCTCTGCCCAGCGCGGCTCAGGCTCACGGCTGAGGCAGCTGGGAAGGGATCTCGGCCTTCACACCCTACTAGCTTTGGTCATCACAGCTGGAGTTTATTGAACACTTACTATGTACACTTGCTTCTGTGCTAAATGTACTACGTGCATAGCTCATCTGACCCTTTAAAAACGTCCAACAAGGGGAGTTCCTCTTATTGTCCCAATTTATTTAGTTAGTTAGTTTTGTAGTACAAGGGTTAGAACCAAGGTCAAGTGCTCTGCTACTGAGCTACATCTCTGCCCTTTTAATCTTTTGTTTTGAGCCACTGTGCTGCCCAGGCTGGTCTCGAACTTCTGGGCTAAAGCGAGTGTCAGCTTCCCAAGGGCTGGGACTCCCGCACATGTCACCAGGGCCAGCTACGGTTCCCATTTTAGCGATGAGAAAACTGAGTCTTAGAGGATTTCAAGAACTTGCTCAATATTACACAACTAGGAAGTGCGCCAAGAGGCTCAGGAAGTGAAATTACAGGAGGAATTGTACCCGGGGGCGGCTGGAAAAGCAGCAAGCATCACCTCTGCCCAGCCCAGAGCTGCCTCTCTGAGGCCCGAGAGTCACACAGTCCGAGGCTACTCCATCTTCCAGGGCCGGGGGCCGCGGTGACCTCGGGTTCTCAGCAGCCTGTCCTGCCAACTGTCCAGAGACCTCCTTCAAAATACAACCCTGCCTCGATCTGAGGCCAGAGCAGAGAGGGCATGGTCAGAGATGGTCAAGGGCCGTGCCCCCTCCAAGTTCTGAGTGGTGCAAGCAGGGGGACCCCAAGGAGCTCAGACAGGGCCATGGGCACCCCGGGCTGAGCTCTTCTAGGAGGGGTGCAGCAGAGCAGGGTGAGGGACCACAGTTACGACCCGGGCCAGGCCCAGTGTCATTCCCATCCCAGAGCCAAGTTCTAGGGTCCCGGTGGGGCAGCAGGGATCTTGTATCCAGGACAAGAAGCTTGGAGCCTCCTCCGGGCCAACGGGAAGCCAGCCAGCCCGGGGGACAAGGGGCTGCTGAGACAGAACTGCCCCTGGCTTACAGAGAAGATGCCGTTCCCGTCTGTGGCCAAACCTGTCTGGCCGTCCGGAGGTTGATGGGGTGGACACCATGGCCTCCTCCCTCAAGAAGGACTCTGGGCTGCAGGAATGAGCCGGCTGCATGGGGAAGAGCGGGCATTATTCACTCCCCAAATATTTACAGACCGCGTTTCCAGGACTGGGCCCACAGCCAAGGCCTCGGGGTCAGCCCTGCACTGTGGCCATTACTCTTCTCCCTGGGCAGCAGGGCGGCGAGGGGCAGCGGGAGGCATGCTATCCAGTAAAGGCAGAAAATGCAGCCGCCTCCATCCCTCCCCCACCCACCCTCCAGCAGGAGGCTGGCTGCGCCCCAAGTCCTCAGCCCAGCGCTCTGAGGTCAGCGGGGCCTCACCTGCTCTCAGCATGCCAGGGAAGGGGGCATCTCTCCCAGGTCGCAGCCAGGACCCCCCACCTCAGGGCCAGGCTGGGCCAGCAAGCTGCTGCCTGCCTCACATCCTGGGCGGGAGGCTGTCCCCAGAGGCCAAGCCAACAGGAAAAAATAATCAAGGAGCTTGACAAGGGCGGGGGTGCTGTCCTGGGCAAGCAGTCACCTCCCCGGGCACCTGGTCACACTTCCGGCACCACAGCTCTGAGACACCCGGGCCTGCCTGCAAGTGCAGGGAAAGGAAGAGCAGAGATTCCCCAACTTCCACCCAGCCGGGCCAGGGGGCAGGTCCTCCATACATTTGGGGGTCCCGAGCCAGGATGGCAAGGGCAACGAGAAACGCGGCCCTCAGAGGAGACCAGCGCGCCCGCCCAGGCCTGGCTCTCCTCCTCCCCAGCTTCTGTCTCTCCCCGGCGCCTGCCCCTCTCCCTCGGAAGGCTCTGGCGTGGCTCAGCGTGTGTCTAGCACCGACCCCCGGGTCACCCCCTGGCTAAGTCCTCACAGGGGCCCTGGGGACACCCAGAAGACTGTCTGCCTGTGGTAGGGAATAGATTTAATACAGAACACATCACTATAGGATTTTTAAAAATAATATTCACCCAAAAAGTCAAATGCAGAGGAGCACAAGCCATCTGTCCACACACTACTATAGACCGGAAGAATCGAGCCAGAGGCCTAGAGCCCTCGGCACTGTCATGCAGATCTGCATCCAGGAACTGCCCCGGGAAGGCCCAAAGGCCACGGTGGAAGCTAGAAAGCCTGCCTGGCGGGGTGAAGGATCTGTGCCACCAGGCTGATGGAGCAGCACAGGAGCCAGGAAACAACGCACAAGGCAAAGACCAACAGCAGCCATCCCGGCGAGAGGGAGGACCGAGCTCCTCTGACCTCTGACCCTGAGAACAAGTAAGTACGCATCAGGAGAGCCGGCGCGGCAACGATCTTCCCCTTAGTGCCCCTTCTGCGCCGTTGGCCGCAGGCCTGGGTGGGTCTTCCACGCCAGACCACGCTGACTCAGCTCAGCAGGGCGTCTGCGTGGACCATGAGTTAGGCACCACGCTGCCCACTCGGGTCGGGGCTCGGTGCGCTCTGGGTTCGGGGTGGCATCCGGGAGGGCTTGCCAGAGGTGGTGGCGTTTGGAGCTGAGCCCGGAGGAGGGGGTCCCATCTCCCAGGGGCTCCGCCCACCCTACTGCCCACTTCCCCTCACACCAGCCTGGAGCCCCCTGAACCACAGCGAGCAAGCGGGGGCCACCTCGTCGCCCTCCCTACATACTCTGCACCTCTATAGGCGGAGCCCCCCCAAACGCACTTGCCCAGTAGATGCCCTAAAGCTGCATCTGAGCCACAGTGATCCCAAAAAGGGTTCCTGATGATGGCCAATCAAAGGCTCAGAATCCTGTAGCCTGGCACTGGGAGAGGCAGATGCCACACTTGGGCCACCGCTCCTTGTCCCCCACGCGCCTCCCCGGCTGTCAGTTCCCGCTGCCCACAAGAGGCCCGGATTCGTTGCACGCAGATGGTCACTCGCTCCCTGCACTCCAGGCCAGCTGACTTCGGGGACTGGGGCCTGAGCCTGATCCCAGGCTCCTTGGGGGGCAGCACCCCAGATTTGGGGGATGGGACCGGCTTTCCGTCAAGCCCTGTCCCCGCACACTCCCACACATCCCTCTCTGTCTTGCAGAGGGGTGGGCATCTGGCAGCCCTGAGCTCAGGGGGGTTCCCTGAGGCTGATGGCGGACTCCATGGCCACGTTGGACCCCTCTCTTCAGTACCGCCGTCTCTGTCCCTCTCCACAGCTCTCCCCAGGGCTCTGTCCTGAGTGGTCTTTCCCGGGAAATCTGTCATCCTCCCTCAGGGGAATTCTGCTGCCAGCCTTCAGCACAGCAAATGTGTGTTGGGTTGCCTGAGCCTGCACAGAGTGGGAAAGTGAGTCCCAGAAGGGAAAGCAAATTGCTCAGGGCCTAGCAGGAAAGGGTACCAGGGATTTTAACTTTCAGTCTAAGAACTGTGCAAGTAAATAAGTCTCTCTAGGCCACTATTTAATCTTATTGTTCATTTCATTTTAATGGGATGTTTTATTGTAGCAGAGACAGAAAAGTGGATGGGTTTTCATGAAATGATCACACTCCTTTTATTTTTGTTTTTTGTTTTTGTTTTTGTTGAGAAAGGGTCTCACTATGTAGTTCAGGCCGGCCTTGAACTCTGTGTAGCCCAGGCTGTCCTCAAAGTTGCAGTGATCATCCAGCCTCAGCCTTCGGAGTGCTGGGATTACAGGGATTACCAATAAAATGATCACACTTTTGTAACCAGAACCTAGATGGAGAAACAGAAAATTCCCAGCTTCCCCAAGTCCCCTGTGACGTCTCCTGATCTCTACTTTCCCAATCCGCCGTAGATTAGTTATGCCTGGTTTTGAATGTCACGCCTGTTTTGAACAGTATCCTAGAATATGCATCCTTTTTTTTTTACATTCTTTCTTTGGAGGTGCTGGGGAGGAACCCAGGGCCTTGTGCATGCTGGCAAGTGCTCTACCACAGCCCCTGATGTGTGACCTTTGTGTCTGGCTCTTTTTGGAGACAGGGTCTCACTGTGCAGCTCAGGCTGGACTTGAACTCACGACCATCCTCCTGCCGCGGTCTCCTGAGTGATGGGATGACAGGTGTGCGCCACCACGGCCAACTTGATCAGTATTGTTTCTTGAGTGTGGTTTATTTCTTTCCACTGTTGTATAGCATCCCACTGCCGGGGTAGACCAACACTTAGTGGCTTCTACTGATGACGGACATCTGGGTTGGTTGTTGCTGCCCGTTTGAGGCTGTTGGCAATGACGCCACGGCAAACCTTCCTGTGCATGTCTCAGGGGTACAGTGTAGGCCACACTTATGCTGTTACTCACTTTTCAGAGGTGATCATGTCAATTTACACCCCCACCGGTGGGTACAAGCGTGCTACTTCCTTCCCATCCTGCCAATACTTAGCGGTGAGGTCTTCTTCATTTTAGCCCGCTGTGGTTTCTCCATTTCCCTGGGGACTGATGATATCAAATACGTTCCCACATGATGACAGGGCATTTGGAAGCCTTATTTGCGATATGCCTGTTTAAACCTCCTGCCCGCTTGCCATTTAGCTGTCTGTCTCTTTCCTATTGATCCGTGAGAGTTCTTTACATGCTCTGGATATGAGCGCTTTGTGTTGCAAATACCTTCTCCAACTCTGAGGCCGGCCGTTCATGCTCTCCATGGTGAGCTTCAGAAACTGATGTTCGAATTTTAATGGAGAACAAGTTATCAAGTTTTTCCTTTCAATTAGTACTTAAGATTTATTTGTCTGCCCTGACATTATGAATATACTGTTTGCTTTTAGTTCTTTTTTTCCCCCCTCAGGATCTGAGCTCGAGACCTTGTGCTTGTGAGGCAGGCAGCACGCTTTTAGGTATTTTACCTTTCATATTTAGCTATATACTCCATGCAGAATTTTATATTGTGTATGGTGTGAAGTAGGAATCAAAACATCTTTTTTTCACAAATGAATATCCAATTGATCAATCACTATTTATGGAAAAGATCCCTCTTTTTCCTGCATAGCACAGCAATATCTACTTTGTTTAAAAATAATCAAGTGAAAGCCAGGCGTGGTGGCGCATGCCTGTAATCCCAGCACTCTGGAGGCTGAGGCAGGAGGATGGCTGTGAGTTCGAGACCAGCCTGGGCTACATAGTGAGTTCCAGGTCAGTCTCAACTACAGTGAGGCCCTGTCTCAAAAAACCAAAAAATAAAAAATAAATGATAATGTTTTCATGTATCTATTTCAAGGGTCTCTGTTACATTTCACAAATCTATCGTTGCAGTAGCAGCACACTCTGTTAATATTTGATACTGAAAGTCTCCCTTGAAGACTTTTTTGAAGAGTGTTCTCTTACCTTCTCATTGTTGAGACGCAACACCAAGTCCACAACTTAAAAGAGGAGAGTTCGATTTTGGCTCACATTTCAGAAGCTTCAGCCCTTGCATGGTCAGTGGCAAAGTGGAAGGGCCCGGTGGAGGGGCGCTGCTCACCTCACTGCACACAGGAAGCAGCGAGGGAAGCCGGAGTGAGGGAGCCAGAGAAACCCTTCTAGGCCACACCCCCGCGACGCCCTCTTCCGGCCAGGCCCCAGCTCCTATCAGGAGTCCGCTCTAAACCACCAGGATCCAACACCTTCTAAAATCCATACCTCTGACTCGTGAGGCTCATGGGGGACATCTAGATATGAACTACAGCGACTGACTCAGCTATTATTTGCGTTTCCATATACATTTCTATGGTCAACTTATCAATTTACATACATACACTCACATGCGCACCCACAAAAATCCCGCTAGGGTTTTGATTGCGATTGCATTGAATCTAGAGATGGATTTGAAGAGGACTGACATTTTTCTGATATTGAACCTTCCAAACCATGAACATGGTGCTTTTTCATGAATTTATGTGTATTTAGATACCTCTCAGCTATGTTTTGTAGTTTTCTAAGTGAGTGACCTTGCAATTTTTTAGTTAGACTTACTTCAGGTGCTTGATATTCTTATGGTGCAGATATGTGGTTGTTCTTTTTTTTCAGATTGAACCTAGGGCCTTCACACTAAGCTACACCCCCAGACCTTTTATAAGACAGGATCTCACCAAGTCACTAAGTTGCCCAGGCTAGGCTCCAACTTGTGATCCTCCTGCCTCAGTCTCACAGAGCTCAGGGACTTGCTGTCCTTTCCTCTCCTCTCTCTCTCTCTCTCTCTCTCTCTCTGGTACTGGGGCTCGAACTCAGGACCTTGCACTTTCGAGGCAGGTGGCAGAACCGCTGAGCTAAATCCCCGACCCTATGGCCTTTTCTCTCTTTATGGCACATTGAAAGGCAACTGAAAAAAATGTTTCATTTCTGATACTAATCTCACATTCAATAATTTTGCTAAATTCATTTATTTGTTCTAACAGTTTGCATATTTGGGGGCTATTTCTTGTATGTATCACTGTGTTGTGTAAATATTAGCAGTTTTGTTTCTCCCTCTACACTCTTAACTTTTTATGCCTAGTAGCCCTTTTAACTTTTATGCTGCCAGGGA